TGTTTTGTAAACAATGACAAAAAAAAAGAGAAAAGAAATTCAACAGCATATATCAATAAACTTAGAGCAATTCAAAACCCCAAATAAAAGGATTAGTGTATACAAAAAAAACGATACAAAATGTCTGACTAGGATCTCATGGATCGATTCCAGACGCGTTTTCATCGATCTCCTGCACAAAATTCAACATCNAAACACGAATACAACCAGGAACAACAGCAATCAATCATATTCCATCAAATCCTAATCCGAGGGTCTATAGTCGCGCACTCACCTTGATTTCGGAATCGATTATCTCATCAACCACAGCTCCGAAACAGAATCAGAAAACTGTTCTGAAAACTAGACAGAGAGATCTACACAACGGTATGTAGTTCGTCCACTGCGTCCCTAAGATTCAACGGGAAAACAGCCCGCAATCTCGCTGATCGGAACAGGAAAAACAGAAATTTCATAAACGACCCCCTGAAATCGAAAGAACACAGAGAACGGAAATTACTCCGAATCAGGATCAGAACCCTAATCTAGAAACTAGACAGCGAGTTCTTTCCAACGGCATATGGATCGTCTCCTGATTCTTTCTGGTTCGACGGGAATCCTCCNTCGAANCGGACTGATCGCAGACACGAAACTGCAGAAACCTCTCTCGGGAAAAGAACGATAACTCTCAGAATACACATCCGATTTACAAACCGTTTCCTCCTGAATCAAGACTAGAGAGTGGAGAACTTACCCTCAAAGTTTCACTCTGATCCGATTCCATCTTCCCAGCCGTTCGTCTCTTCCAAAAACCGAGCAGAATTGATTTTCCGCTGAATGTTTGCTGTATTGAGAATTTTAGCATGTTGAGGGTTAGCATTTATGGGGATGCTAATTCGGTGCTAATTTATATATAAAAAAAAAACGGGTCGGGTTGTTTCAGTTTGGTATCAGGACCGGCTCTGCTCATGAGGCTTCACTTCTGTCAGATCAAACACCTGTTATGAGAATCTATCGTTGATGGCCGTGAAGCCACAAATTTCTCTGTCGGTGTTTCCATTAAGACAAAAAAAACCCAAAAAGAAAAATGACAACTTTTCATCCTGTGATTAGAGAAATAAGGAAGGAATATGGGATTTCAAAGAAGAAGATCTGAGATTGAAGAAGATGATGAATACGAGATGAAGGTTGAGTACCATGGTTGGAGAAATCAGAACAAAAGCTTGAGGAAGAAGACGAGGAGAGGAGGAGCTTCAAAGTCTGGAAGGGATTTAGGTTAAAAGAAAGGTCGAGAGAGAGATGAAGTTGAAAAGATTTGGGTTTTGTTTTTTTATGAAAAAAAAGTTAGCATCTTTTATAATATGGCCTCGGA